GGGCGAGGGCGGGGGCGGGGCCGGCGAGTGGGGCGGGGGCTCGGACCCCGGCCTCCAGCCGGCACCGGAAACGCGCTGTGGTCCAGGAGACCCACAGGAAGTGTGTAACGGCCCTCCCACGACGCGCACCGAGCTAACGGCGGAGGCTGTCCGGGGGAGGTGTGGACCGACCCTCCTGCTACAGACACGCGACCACGAGCTCGGTCTCCGCAGCCCAACAGGCGTGGGAGCCACGATCCCCTCTGCGTTCTCAAGTGGGCAGCACCCCCACTCCTGCCACACGCGCCAGGCCCGCGGCCCCCGCTGCCCTTCGCAGCTCCGTACAGCTCCACCTAAACGCCAGGATCAGACCTTCTTGCAAGACCCTGGGTTTGTCAGGCGTGTGATACCTGTTTTAACGCGCTGAGTGGAGTCACCTCTACATCCAGGCATATGCAAGAACACCTCCGATCGAGAGACGTACAACCCACAGTCACCGCTGCCCGGTGGAAGTTTCTAATACAGCTACAACCACACGCACCTATCCCGTGGAGGGAGCCGGGCTGCTGAATAACACCCAAAACACACTAAGACCGGGAAGTATATAATAACACCACCTACACAGCTCTGCACAAGGGAGGTAAGGCTGGACCAGGCACCCTCCACCTTTATTTTATCTACCAAACACTTTCATAGTACTTACGCTAAGTGCTTAGCGAATATTAATTTGCTTAATCCTAAGAACTCTATGAAGTGGGTCTTGTTAGCATTGCTGTTTTGCACACGAGGAAACTGAGGCACAGAGACAGTAAGAAAGCTGCCCAAGATCACATAGTAGCAGGAGGAACCCAGATTCGTCCCAGGCAGTCTGTCTCCATGCTCCTTTCTACTTACAGCCCTAAGCATCTCCAAAATAATAATAATGGCAATAACTATCATTTAAAGCATATCTGATTAGCCATATGTAGTGCTCACATCTTGGCCTCACCCCTGCTGTGACAGGGAAACCTCATTCCCTCCTACCCTGGGGTAAGTGAGGGGAGAGAAGAGTATGACTGAGCAGAAAAAGAGACTAACTTCTGAACAAAGGAGAAAGGATTCCTAACACCTTTGTCTATCAACACTCCTCCTGGCTGAATTTTAAAATCTGTAAACATTTTTGATAAATAATGTGTCCAAAAAAAAGAAAGAAAACAGGGACTTTCCTGGTGGTGCAGTGGTTAAGAATCTGCCTGCCAATGCAGGGGACACCAGTTCGATCCCTGGGCCAGGAAGATCCCACATGCCACAGAGCAACTAAGCCCATCCGCCACAACTACTGAGCCTGCGCTCTAGAGCCTACGTGCCACAACTACTGAGCCCACATGCCACAACTACTGAGCCCACATGCCACAACTACTGAAGCCCACATGCCACAACTACTGAAGCCTGCACGCCTACAGCCTGTGCTCTGCAACAAGAGAAGCCACCGCAATGAGAAGCCCGCACACTGCTATGAAGAGCAGCCCCTGCTTGCCACAACTAGAGAAAGCCCATGCGCAGCAACAAAGACACAATGCAGCCAAAAATAAATAAATAAGATAAATTTATTAGAAAAAAAAAGTTAATCGCCACATGTTTCAAGTACATAATCCTGTGGGAAAATTGAAATCCTGCACATTGCTGGGAGAAATGTAAAATGGTGCAGCCACTATGGAAAACACTATGGAGGGTCCTCAAAAAACTAAAAGTGGAATTACTATGTGATCCAGAAATCCCACCTCTAGGTATATATATATCCAAAAGAATTTGAAGCAAGAACTTAAAGAGGCATTTGCAACCCATGTTCACTGCACCATTATTCACAATAGCCCAGAGATGGAAGCAACCAAAATGTCCAAGGATGGATGAATGGCTAAACAAAATGTGGCATATACATACAGTAGAGTATTATTCAGCCTTAAAAAAGCAACCCTGTCACATGCTAAAACATAGATGAACCTTGAGGACATTACACTAAGTGAAATAAACCAGCTGCAAAACAACAAATACTGCATATAAGGTACCTAGAGTTGTCAAAATCACTTATATAACGTACATAGAGTTGCCAAAATCATGGAAACAGGGTATTATGGTGGTTGCCAGGGAATGAGGAGGGGATTATGGAGAGTTGTTGTTCCATGAGTATAGAGTTTTAGTTTTGCAAGATGAAAAAGTTCTAGAGATCTGATACACAACAATGTAAGGATAAACCACTGACCTGTACACTTGAAAATGGTTAAAAGGATAAATTTTGTATTATTTGTTTTTTTACCACAATTAACTTTTTAAATGCAGTCCCATTTGTTTAAAGGATATTTCCATCTTGATGAGTTTTTTAAATGATGCAGGCTCCCAGCTATGATGAGGTACCTTGTTGAACAAACTAACTCTCCCACTAAAAGCTATAAAAAGCTGCATTTAAAAAAATAAAATAAAAGCCTGTTTAAACCTGTTATACAGCAATCCAGGCAGCCAAGGCTTGAGATTCCCAAGAGCCCAGCAAGAAGGGAAACACAATGAAGTGAATCCTCCATCCTAAGCCATGTTTCCTCCTCATGGCATTGTTGATTTGTGTCTAGGAGTATAGAAATCTGAGAGGCATCCTAGAGCTTTCAATAGTCTGATTGGGCTGGAGATACAAATTTTGGAGGTCAAGTCTATCAGGGTAGCTAGGGCTTGAGATGCTAAGATCCCAGAAGAAAGGCAATCACATTAAAAGGAGTCAGTCATTCTACATATTTTCCCTCAAAGCATTTGCTGATTCCTAGCCTGTTCATGCAAGGGGCAAGAAGCCAGGAAATCAAGCAGAAAGCAGTTGTTAACAGAAAAAAAAAAATTAAGCAGAAATTTTTGGCTGTCTCATGGTGCTGGAAAGAATTAAATAGAATTAAAGTTCTTAGACTTACAGTAGTAGAGACTGGCTAGGATGTGACTGCCTTATAATCACTTGGTACTTTCTCAGATAAATATATGGTCAATTGTGTATACTTTTAAGTTGCACTAACATTGCT